CACACACACACACACACACACACACACACACACACACACACACACACTGCCTCCCATCACCGTCCTCAACAGTTCTCTGTTTACAACGGATCATTTTCAGTTTCTAGGAACCACACTTTCTTGAGAAAACAGCCTTTTTCTACTTTGTATATTCCTTCCATGTGTAAAAAAAAAAAAAAATGGCTGTATATACATATACATGTACATACTGTTTCTTTTATCCTCTAAGTTTATATAAGTTTATATAAGTACATACTATATTTTTTTTTTTTCCTTGAACATGACCTAAAAGCACTGATTAGTCTTTGTAGAGATATAGTAGAGTGTAATGGAATGGACTGTACTTATAAAGCACCTTTCTATCTTATGAAGACACTCAAAGTGCTTTACACTACAATCTGTGTCCTCATTTACCCATTCATACAGCACTCTACAATCTCTACAAAGCTAATTGAACTAATCACTCTAAGGAGCTTAATCAGAGCTTTATCACATTCATACACTGATGGGACACACATCAAAGGCAATGAGGGGTTCAGGGTCTTGCCCAGGGACACTTGGGCATGTGGCTGCTGTTGGATTCAAACCCCCATCTCTTGCATTGGAGGACGACTGCTCTAACCACTCAGCCACTGCTGCCCTGAGTGCTGTATGAATGGGTAAATGATGGCACAGATGGTGTTGTGAAGAGCTTTGAGTATCTTGATAAGATAGAAAGGAGCTATAAGTGCAGTTCATGGTAGATTGTTCTGATTGTGCCGTAAAAATAGCATAACATTTAAATACGATTTCAGCATTTTATTGTAAAAAAAAAAAAGAACATGGCAGCACGGTGGCTTAGTTGGTAGAGCTGTTGCCTCTCAGTGAAAAGGTCACTGGATCAAAACACGGCCTGGGGCCTTTCTGGATGGAGTTTGCTTGTTCTCTCCGTGCATACGTGTGTTTTCTCCAGGTACTCCAGTTTCCTCCCACAGACCAAAAACAGGCATGTTAGGCTGACTAGTAACTCTAAATTGTCCCTAGGTGTGAGTGAGAAAGTGAATGGCTGTTTGTCTCGTTTGTCCTGTGTCCCTTTGATGGACTGGAGATCTGTCCAGGCTGTCCTCCGCCTCTTACACAGTGATAGCTGGACATGGGCACCAGTGACCCACACGACCCAAAAAAGAAGAAGCGGGTAAAAATTAAGGATGGATGAAAAATACAAAAGTATCAAACTAAAAGAAGCAGTCTTGGAAATATCACCCACCTTGCTTGTATGCTGAAGTTTTTAACAAGGATGTATGATCATAGTGTATATTGAATATTGGCTATTACCACACAAAGTTTCAGCTCAACATCTGTAAAACTGACAGAGCTACTGCCAGTTTTACATTTTTATTACTTTTATTAATCTTTATTTAACAAGGCAAATCCCATTGAGATCACAGATCTCTTTTGCAAGGGAGGCCTGTGCCTGAAGGCAGCCTGACATGCATGTTTTTAGACTGTACGAGGAAACCGGAGTACCCGGAGAAAACCCACACAAGCACAAGAAGAACATACAAACTCCACACAGAACGACCCCAGGTCCAGCCGGGGATTGAACTCAGCACCCAGGTTTTGCTGTGAGGCAACAGTTCTAACCACTGATCCATCGTGCTACCACATTTTTTATTCATTCATCCTTTATTTAGACAGGTTACTCCCACTGAGACAGGTTAATCCCATTTGCTAAGGCTGATTAGCTGTTGTGGCCATCTTGAGTTGTGGTGACTCCCAACGTTAATCAGTTGCAGATGTTGTACACCCAATGATCACTTAGTGAGGGTTTTATTAAAATATTTCCACTTTTACATAAGGTATTTTGCTCACAGACAAATCAGCAGACACTCACATTCGCCGGCTATTACATAATCACTCACCTTTCATGGTGGCGATTGAATAAAATGTTGATTTTTTTTTCTTTTAAACAAGTATAGTAAGTCTGTTAAGAAGGTCACAATTAGACAAACAGAAAGGTGATTTAAATACTATTTATTTTAATGCAAGTAATTAAACAAGTATTTTTTAAATAATGTGTAGTTCATTGTGACTGGTCCTTCAGTGCAAATAAATATACTTAGCTTGTTTGTTGTTTCATCTACAATTAAAGATATGATCTGACTTAGTCATTTCAGATCAGCATAATATTTTTGTTTTCAGTGCATCACACTCTTGAAGTCAGATGTGTAAAAGTTTTGAGTCAACATCCATTGTTAGAGTTTTTATACAGATTGAAATAATTTTAAAATGAGAAAAAAGCAGCGTGGAGAAGTGGATTGTTGTTTAGAAAATGTCCTTGCTGAGCTGCATTATTGACGGGAAGCACAAAGTGTAGTGAAGGTCTCCGGTCTGTTACCATGGGCACCATCTACTCAAGGCAGATCAGAAACAAGCTCATTTTCATGTCCGCTGATAACCCTCCTTTGGTTTTGTCTACAACAAATCCTGACTAAAGCAAACCTGTTGTTTTTGTTCCTTTCCTGTCTCTCCCCCACCCCCCCTCCCCCCAGATCTCTGTGGGTGTGTGTGGGATGTTGTGTCAGGGCTGAAACCCATCCCTCTCTCATGAGCCTGTGTGTCCACACACACACAAGGCGCCTCGACGCACACACACGGCGCCCACGCGCTCACTGACGCTGTGAACTGGACTCTCGAAGCCCGGCAGATCTCAGCCGAGCCAAGCAGAGCGGAGTCTAGCCCACTTGGAGCCTGAGGATGTCAACAGAGACAGAGCTGCAGCCAGCGGTCAGGCCCAGCAGCATCAGACGAGACTCCAAGAGGAAAGGTAAGAACACTGTCTGGAACAGAGATGGTCCTGGAAAAGTTGCACAGAAACTAAACCCTGAAGCAAGTTATAAAAAAACACAATCGCTCTGTTGAATGACAAGCAAGACACTCAGATGGCGGAAGATATAAGTTAGAATATTAGTACCCTAACTTTGTGGTAGATACTTCAGCTGTAGTTATTTATTTTTATCTCCTGTTGCTGAAGGAGAGAGACGAAAATGATTTTTGTCTGTGTGTGTTTGTCTGCCTGTTAGCAAGATGTCTTATGAACCAGTGGACACGTTTTACCGAGACTCAAAAATTAGTCATTAGATGTTAAGGACATCCAAAACTGATTACCTTTTCAGGTCACCCCGATTCAAGATGGCCACCACAGCTAATCAACCTTAGCCAACACGTAACATGTTCAGCTAATTTTAGAAATGTCTCAAATTTGGTGCGAGAGAAGCTGAGCATCATCCCCAACACATACGTAGATCTCCCGATACACATTGGACCAACATTTTTTACAGAAAACTTTGACTTGAACTATTGGTAGCAACCCTGTCTGTTAGAAAAACATCTCATTTACCACTGGATGGATTTTAATGAAACTCTCCAAAACATACATCTCAACATCTCAAACACGTCCACATTTGCAGTCAATACAGTTCAAGATGACGGCTACAACTAATTGACCTCAACACAGGGCAACAACGTACTCTGTTTTACAGATACAGAGTGACAGTTTGGAGTGGTAGTAGTTGGTAATCATCCTAAATGGTGTAGAGGTAGTGTTGGATAAATAAATATCCTTTCATCATCTGCTTACTCAAATCAGCCACTCTGAAGACACGAGAAGATTTTTAACTGGTCTTTTACTTGCAAGGGTAGACAGTCACAAGAAGGCTTTCACAGATGTGCACATGCTTAGAGCCTCATCAGTGAGAATCTGCACCGGACAGTGAGGCAGGAAATGTTTTATAATACATGCTTATCAGACGGAAGCGAGGTCAAGACGACCTCGACTTTCTAGTTTACAGACTCGGAGAAGGCCTTGAAGTTATCAGGTGCCTGCAGGCTCCTCTCTGAGCAGACAAAAGACTCTCTGACCTCACACACATGGTTCAACATTCATTTAACATTAGTTACTGATAAACATCCATGACCTTTACCTAAATTCCCCTGACAGGTAGAGCAGCCGACTTGGGACCAGAAAGTTACAGGCTCAACTCCCTGCTATACCCACATGTCGTGGTGTCCTTGAGCAAGACACCTAATCCCTAACTGCTCCCCATGCACTTACATAGCTGCCCACTGCTCCACCTGGGGCGTATCTCAGGTGTGATGGGTTAAATGCAGAGAACTAATTTCATCATTGTATAGAAATATAGGCTACAGTGATAACAACACAAACACACACACACTTGAACACATTCTGTGAGCATTAACACATCAAACAGTATCTCACAATATTTCATAAAGCTGTTCATAACATCATTTACAAGGTTTGATCGAACAGTTCTGAATCCATTCTCTCTCAGCGTAGAAAGATCTAAGGTAAGATTTGTGAAGGCCTTCCTTCCTTGAAGGAGTGCTAGGTCAGGTGTTACTTGACTAAATGTTTTCTGTTAGTCTGAAAGGAAGAAAGAAAATGCTCACAGACAGCTTTCATCAACTTGTTTCTTTTTACAATCCTAATTTGCACTTCACGGTGGTTTGAGTAACACATCAGGATACAGGTCTGCTACTTGCTGCTAATAGAAACTAACAGATGTGGGGGTGTCACGGTACAGTAGCAGACAGGTGCTGGGATGTGTTCAGAGAAGACCAAACAGATCCCAGTGTAGGAATCTCCAGATGCAGGTAGCCAGCAGGTGTAAAGGAGCCAGCTTGGATGCTGTCAGGTGAGAGGTGCTGCCTCCCGCCACCTGCCCGTCTGTTAGACCCACGCCAGGCTTCCTCTGAATAAGCATTTGATTGATGTTGTGAAAACTCCGGACGCTGTCGGGGCTGATACTTAATGGATGCAGGCAACCACGCAGAATTTCACACACTCTCACTATCACCTGCAGCAGATGCCTCATTGCACATGTTGCGCCTCAGCCACTGCAGACGAGCACAGGTCCTTGTGCACAGACAGCCAGGGAGACTCAGTGCCTCACATGTCCTATTTAGACAAGCATTGTTCTACTGCAATGAAGATTATGTTCGTCATTCAGACTGCTCTCCTTATTTGAGAGATTCAGAAAAGCACTTCTACACACACGTGCGTGCGCACACACACACACACAGATACTGAGATTGGGATTGGAGCCCAGAAGAGCATATGAGAGAGCATGAATGGTTTGCTTTCAGCTTTGAGACTTAAAGGTTTATTTTCTTTCTTTCTTTTTCTCTTTTCACCACCACCACCTCCACCTCCACCACACACTTTACCTTATAACTCGTCTTTATTTGTATCACTTTTCTTTTCTTCTTTTTTTGTACAAATAGAATGTAGAATTTGTTCAGCTACAAAGTCATTGAGCTCGGTTCACACAGGATGTTTTCATCTTTCCTCTGATCTGGGTCAGTATTCCCAGAAGTCGTATGTGCAATCACTTCAAGTTGGGTGATGAAAGTCTAACGCAATCACGTACCACACACAAGCAATGAACGTGCATGCGCGTGGGAATAGAATAACTTTGAGTGCCTTGTGTGGGACCTTAAATTCTTTTTTTCAGCGCACGCACTCGTGTCTCACCAGCTGTCTAGTTCCTGTCTCGCTGGAGTAGCTGAATTTAAATGAAAATACATTGGCTGATTGTCATTAGGATATAAATGGTTGCTTTACGCTTATCCCTGCAGGATAGCCCACTCACACTTCAGATCTCCTCCTCCCACTTGTCAAACTCCTCCATGACCTTGTCCTGGGTAAGTGAGACATGGAGTGGAGAAGGAAGAGAGAGTGTGAGAGAGACTAATGAGTTAGTCTGAATGAGAGCTTTTTAATCTCAGCCTTTTGTTTCACAGAGCTGTGGAGAGGACCTTGATGAAAAAAAAAAGTTATGCTGCTGTGTCTCACATTAATCACTATGATGGCCCATGCTTATGTGTGCGTGTCTTCCTTATTGCACATAATTGTGTTTCATTTGTGAGCTCAGGTCAGTGTTGTAATAGCCCAGTCTTTCAAGAGAAACTTAGTCCCAATCCCAAGGTTGAAATAACCTTTGAACTTTAGCATTTAAACAGCCTGACCTGGATAACTGTTGCTTATGTTAACAATGGTTCAGTCTATCCTACAGCTAATTCTTGGAAAAGAATCAGAATTGATCCTTGACAAAAGCTGATGCGTTACATAGTGTCTATATGTTGCACAAAGCTTTTATTTCATTGTCTGGCAACCTGACCTCAAGGATAAGATGCCTATTAAAGATGTTTGTTAGTTTGTAAAACTACAAGCCTTTTAAGAGAATAGCACTCTTAAACATCACTCAATATTAAGGAACCCAGGGTTGACGGTCTGCCAGAATAAATGCTTTTATGTGAATGTCAAATCAGAACAGAAAGCTAGTTTGATATTTCTGAGGAGCCCAGCAGCTGCAGACAGTTTTGTCTCTGCTAACGTTAACATCTCAGCGCCCACCTAGTTAATAAAGCATGATGAACCATGGACGCCTTTTTTTTCAGTGGATTATTTGAATCATTTTTCTCCACTTTTACCACAAAAGAAAATTGTTCTGATGTTACACGAAAGAACTTATGCTAAATATAATTTAATGAGTGTATTTCCACAGAAAGGTGGCGCAGTTAATAGAGCTGCTGCCTCTCAGCGAGCAGTGTCGCCAGTTCAAATCCCGGCCGGGGGCCTTTCTGGGCGGAGTTTGCATGTTCTCTCTGTGCATGCGTGGGTTTTCTCCGGGTACTCTGGTTTCCTCCCACAGACCAAAAACATGCACGTTAGGCTGATTGGTAACTTTAAATTGTCCCTGGTTGTGAGTGAGAGAGTGAATGGTTGTTCAAGTTGGGGGAAAAAAAACCAAACTTAAATTTGAACGCATCCTTTGTGATCATTTATTGTTGTTATTGTTGTCCACTGTTGTCTTCACTCTTTGTTAAAATTCAGGTCTCTTGTAAATGAGTCCTCGTGGCTCAATGGGACTAACTGTTTAAATAAAGGTTGAATGAATGTCTCTGTGTGCCCCTGTGATGGACTGGAGACCTGTCCAGGGTGTACCCCGCCCCTCGCACAGTGATTGCTGGACATGGGCACCAGCGACCCCCGTGACCCAAAATGGAATAAACGGGTAAAGGTAATGGATGGATGGATGGATGAATGTCTCTGTGTGCCCCTGTGATGGACTGGAGACCTGTCCAGGGTGTCCCCCACCTCTTGCACAGTGATAGCTGGATATGGGCACCAGTGACACCCACGACCCGAAAAATAAGCAGTGGGTAAAGATAATGGATGGATGCATGGATGCATGGATGGATGGATGGATGGAATGTATTTACAGAATACATCTAAAGTGGGACAAATGGTGCATGAATCTGTAAGATGTTTTTGTTTCCCCTTCAGAGAAGCTGCCATCATTGTCAAAGCTGGGCATCAGTTTTGGTATTAATCTGGCAAAAAGTCTTGTCTGATGCTCTTCTGTAAACTGTTTAAAAATAAATACACACAATGTTTACTGACATTTGATGCAAGTTGAAGCCTAATCCATCCATCCATCTATCCATGGACGGATGCATGTTCCTCAAGGACCAGGGTTGGGAACCGCTGCTCTATACAATGCAATACGTACAGTGCAATAATCTTTCTGCAGAACTCACTTATTAAGATTTGAACTATCACTTTGAGGTGCATACATTATGAAGCGTTGAATGAAAACTGAACAGCTAGGTGTTTGTAATTTGTGACCATAATTAGTAAATGAGTCTACCTGAAGCAGATACGTATTTGGCAGTTAACCAACAAGCGTTCAAAGTGAAACAATACTGACATTCCTGTTTGGAGATGATCTTCCACACTCCTCA